CAGTTTCGACCAGCACCGGCCCATTGGTATATTTTTGCTAAACTCTAAAAACATACCTATACATAAAATTCACTGCAGTTTCCAGTTGAAATGAATACTAGTGGAAGTAAAACACCAACAACTTATTTATTTTTAAACAAATTATGATTACAGGCACATCTGCACAGATTATTGATTAATAAAGACTTATTTTTATGTGGTTCCTTACACAACATTAAGTTAAGACCTTAAAACACTTATGCCATAGTGCATGATTTGTAAACTAATATTTTGATGTTTGCATCACATATGTATGGCTTTTCTGACATAATAAACTTGCTCATTTGGTTCAGCACTGCACTTGCGATGTGGGGCACAAGTCACGATAAAAGAGTCACAATAAAAGAGCTCAAACTAAAATGGCATGCTGGCACACCAAATGCGTTTTTATCTCATGTTTGCTTTTGTTAACACTATTGGTTAGGTTTAGGGTAGGTGGTACAGTACATTAAAAGTGACCTATCCATATTTTTTTCCACAAAAAATATATTTTTCTATAAATGTAATGCCACATACAGTTTCATGGCACAAAAAAAAACATTCATGACTGGTAAATTCTTAATTCACCCTTGGCAGGTAAAACATTATTTTCAGATTTTGACTACACTCGTGATTTATAATGTTTGAATACAGCCACACACACATTCATGCAATGTGACTCATACAGAGATCAGACAAGCTGTAATGCTCTTGAGGAGTAAATAGCCTCAATCAAGGGCATTAGAGCAGCAGCAGGACATGCAGCTGTCAGGTGACCTGAACACTTTCAGAACAGTGATAGCCAAACATCACCAACACAGCAGTAAAGATGTAAGATTACAGCTTTCATCAGTTCAGCACGAACGTGGGTACCTGTAGGGGGGAAAATGAAAGAAAAAGACGGGGAGAGAGAAAACAGAAGGATAGAGAGAGAAAGAAAAGAAAGAGAAGGATGGAGAAAAAAAAATGTGGTACTGGACCAGCATGTCTGGGATTCTCATTGCTCAATGGATGCCTACGGCAGAGTGCGTTGCAGCAAAAGATAACATTTTCTCAGTATGTGGTCTCATGACAGACTGTAGCTTTCATAAAACTCCCCTTTAAAAACAACTCCCCTTTAGATTCTAAGCGTTCTATGATGCAGCGTGTAGATACCTTTACAATCCTTCATATTAAACAACAAGCAATAATATTCTATGTAGCTTTTAACCACTTTGACTTTTTGAATAGAGAGCAGGATAGCTATTTACTGATAATAATGATGAAAATGATGATAACTGAAAATAATGATTATGCACCATTCACAAGTTTCATTCACAAATATTTTTCATTATTATCAATGTTGAAAAAAATTGTGCTGCTTAATATTTTTTGTGTAAACCATGATATATATATATATATATAAAAGCTTTTTTTTCAGGATTCTTTGATGAATAGAAATTCCAAAAGAACATCTTAAAAAAAGGATATTAAATATCTTTTTTCTTAAAAAAAGAGTTTTAAAATAAAAATCTTTTGTGACATTATAAATGTCTTTACTGTCACTCATTATGGTCTTTATGAGTGAGCTGAGCTCTTGACTGCTTCAATCTAGAGGCTTGATGTGGATATACATAGAGATGTTTCATCTTTTGCCTTGCTTTTAAATTAGGCAGTTCACACGTCTGAGGGATCGGGATCAGGATCAGGACTGCATTCAGCCAGCTCCCATCACATCGCGCTCTCACATATACATAACACCTGTTTATAAACACACTCTTGCTGAGATACAAACAACTAGATTTATTTTACATTTTAATAATAGACAAGCACATGGAACACCCTTATGAAAATATAATCACTTTTATACAGCACAACATAATCGAAATCTGAAGAGCTAATGACCCGCTTATAGCTCATTAATGTCAGTAGGATGAACTAAAAGCATTGATCAGCTGGAGTGTTTCTGAATTTACAGTATATGGAGAGAAAGGAGAAAAGCTTTTAGCTGCATTATCAGTCCTCCCCTTTGTGATGTCATAATGAGAGGAGATTGCCTAGCAACCCACACTGCTGCCTAGAGACAGATAGATAAGGAAATTCGAACTTGAACAGCCCCTATGACATAATCTAAGATGAACACATGCTCACCTGTATGGAGCCAATCTTCTGTTCGTATTGTCTCTCAAGACTTACTAAAGAAGAGCAATTACTTTGTTAGTGATTTATCCTAACTAATTAGCTCATTCTCAAACGTATATATGCAAGTGTAATTCCCATAAACAGAAATAACCAGCCTTTTTCATGGCAGCCAACAGCTGTTACATCAAAACAATTATGCAGCCAGCCCATTAAAGCAATTTAGAAACATCACATAAGTCAGATATATGGCCAAGTGCACTTAGACCCTTTCTTTTCTGGCTATAGTGTGGAAGCGCTCCATACACATAATCTTTAAGCAAATAAAATAACTCAGAATCCCTTAAAAACCCACATACTATGCCATAATTGGGAAATTAACTACAAGCAGACAAGACTGTGTGTGTGTTTATTTGAATGCGTTTAGTGTCTCATTCATTAGCAGCAGGTCTTTGTAGGGCCATCTGCACTGCTACTCTCTCTTCCAAGAGATAAATAAGCACTGTTCTCATCTACACCGACAGGCCCATGTCTGGGCGCATGTTTCCGTGTGATTTTCCATCTTGATAAGTCATTATTTTGTCAATACACACATCCTGCATTCTGACATGTGGCAAAATGCAACAACAAAGTCCCCGATTAGCTGAAAACAGCTTGGCCAGACTGAAACAGTGAAGCTTAACTGGCGCTAGCAATGTCAAGGTCATAGGTTTGATTCCCAGGGAATACATGTAATGATAAAATATATAGCATTTCTTAATCGCTTTGGATAAAAGTGCCTGCCAAATGCATAAATGAACACATATATATAAATATAATTGCATCAAGTGACTTGGCAAGCCAAACTCAAGGCCGAAAAGTGCCTTTCCTGGGGTGGATGTGGGACATTAGACACAAGATCGCAATTTGCTGAGCTCTCAATGAAGTGCTGAATAAAATCAGAGAGAGATGCAGACAAGAGCCTCATAGTGATCCTCTGAGTGTCAGGATTCATCAGCAGTTATGAGACGGATTTCTACTGAGAAATAATGAGGAATGGAAAGATAACCGTTCTTTTCACATGCTTTTATATGTAATTATATAGCAGTAATGCATGTAATGCATAATGTACAGTTAGCCAGCATCATCACAAAATGAACATCCTGTAATGTACAGCCTGAAGGGGTTTGTTTTGCAATAACTACTGGCTGACTTTACATTATTCCACTTGTTATACAACTGCTTACCAAATAAATAAACAGATATGAAATAGCTTCTTGGCATATAATACAAGGGTCAAATATACAGTTTAGTAATCAATGTACAAAAGGAACACCACAATTGACCAATCAAGTAGCCCTATAATAAGTGCACACTGTAAAAAATATCCTGTTAAATTTAAGCAAAAATACAGGAGCTGTGGTTGCCAGACATTCAATGTTACAAATACAATAAAAATGTTTCTGGTATAACAATAAAGCATACTGGTGCATGCATATTTTACAACGTATAACCATTTCAATTACTACTTAAATAAAATAAAATTATATGTGATGCGTCATGCAGGGACTACTGGGAATGTCCATTTTATTGTTTTGCATCGTAGATTATACAGTAATTTATAGTTTTTACTTCCGAAACCATAAACTTGACAGTATTTTACAGAAAAATTACATGTGATATCAATCCATTTACAGTTTTACAGTAACTAACACTTAATCAATTAACAGGTTTTAACTGTAGAATATTTTGTGAAAATCAAATTTTTTTAACAGTGCAAATTGGATTTGTGCTGATCAAAAACACAACCTTGTATGATTATCTAAGAATAGAAGTGTAAATTGATAGCAGCGTGTTTCTACGGTGAGGCAAAGTCACTTCAGGGAACATCTAGTTAATCAGCAATTATATGAGATTTTTGAGTAATTATGGAAATCACAATCCTGATTCATCATCGTGCCCTTAAGCAAAGCACACAACCCCAGGGTGGCTCTGGCATTCAGTAGGTTGCTTTGGATAAAAAGCATCTGTTAAATGTTATGACCCAAACTAGCAGGGTGTCCACTCCACCCAGTGAGCGCAGGTGGATCAGAAACGGAGATTCACTCTGATCACCCAAGAGACTCAAACCGAAGCCATCCCAAGCTACACCACTCAGCTTTAATGACAATCACAAGACTGACCAATCAATCAATGGTGGCTACAAGAGCACACAGAACAGCAGGAGAGCCATACATACTCTCTCTTCTGTAGTCTGACAGCATTAATGGAAAATGAAATGAAGGACCATTTCCTGAAACACGAGCTATGCTCGATTACATTACTTTGGTTCTCTGTAAAACAGTTTCTCTAGTGGAGACAGACAGTCTTGTTTAAGTAAGGAACAGATCTAAAATGCCAACCAAAGTGACAAAAAGCACGATGTCCAAAAATGCCCAAAACACTGGGGCTAGATTTGCACTGCAGTGAATTTCTGGTATTGGTCATGTAACATCTCATAATATATCTACCCATGGGTTCAATTAACTGAATTAATCGCTGTTAAGAAAAAATGCCCTCAAAAAGGTAAAAACTGTCACTGAAAACCAATTACAGTGGGGGAAATATGTCTCACAATAACAAAAAGTTGATTTCTGGTACTGATCTGAAAGATGTGGATGAATATAAACACTCTTTCTCTTAATGAAATACACACACAAGCATTCTGACACTTCCACACAAAAACATGCTGTCCTGAAACACACCAGTTGTCAGTGAGGTAACTGAAAACCAAGTCACCTTCCTAACCCACTGAATGAATCGAAGGAAGAGTGAGAGTTCTGCCATTCACTCGAAGGTCACACAGGTATATGTGCGGTCACAGACTCACAGGTGCGGTTCCTTACCGTGATGGTTCTGTTGTTGCTGCTGATGTTCCTGCGGTTCGCCCGGTTCTTCCAGCTCGCCGAGTTCCGCCAGTCTGTGGCCGGTGGCTGTCAGCTCCGCGCGCAGGTTCGCCACCTCCTGCTTCGCGCACTGGATCGCGCCATCGATCCGCTGCGCGAGCTGCTTATTTTCGTCCATCATTCTCCGGATCTTCGCCTGCGGGGAGAATCCACGGAGCGAGTCATTTTGCCTGCTGCATTATAAGCACACTAAAATCCCATTCTGTCTATGTCCTGTATTTTATAAAGGCAGAAATCCCCCAATATCCACAAGGTGAGCAAATATATTTAGAGTCCCATATTGTCTAATGTTTGGATGGGGCTGTCAGAAAGAAAGACAGACTGAGACGCAGAGACTTTAGAGAGAGAATAAAACAGCGTGCTACACTAAACTGCTCTTTCCGCGCTCGCTCTCGTGGAGAGAGTTCAACGCACCAGACTCCGAGCGTCTCTTTAAACGGACTGTACCATCTGAGAACGAAAAGAGGAGGGCACCTATCGAAAGGAACGTGCCATTTGCATCTTAAACGTATTTATTTAAACTTTATTTTTAAGGAAATAAGTAAATAAACTTTTTTTTTTTTTTTAATAAATCAAGGTAAAAATGTAAAAAAACACTCGCTTAATAGTTACCTTTTAAATCGGTAATTAGCTTTTTTCAATATCACCTTTGATATATTATTATTTAATTTTATCTATCATTTTTATTTTAAAATATAGGTCTGTTTAACTGTGAATACAAACAGTATGTGTTTGCTTTTCTGTGTGTGTGCATGTAGACTACAGATTTGTCTACACTTCTGAAGACCAAATTTTGAAAATGTCTTCATAAATATAGTAAAACATTTAGAAACCCTACTTATGAGGATAGTTGAAGTGTTCTTCGCTGTTTGAAAGGTTCGTATATCTGCCAAATGCTGCTTTGCTTTCAATCTAATAATGTGAGCAGGTCTCTGTGAGGGTTAAAGGGCAAGATATGGTAAATATCATTATCTTAATGTGAAAAATACTGTGTCTGTGAGACACAGTTGAGACCGTAATAGCTTCTAACTTCTGTGACTTGTGTCGTGTGACACTCATCCTCACTCATTCATCTCTTATTTCATACTTCTCCCACACACATTTAGGTTTATTTTGTATTTTATTTTATTTTTTTAATGTTAAGCCAGGTATGAATTAATAGATTGTATCTAGGAGGGAGAAGAGATAATGTTGACACATTCAAAGTTTTTGTAGACTACAGTATGCGTGTGGCAGGAAGAGAAAGTGCATATGTGTCCTTTCAGTGTACCCACTCAAATTCTAAACCTCAGTCATCTCTGAGATGGCAGAATAGTGTGGTTTTGGGAGAATGGTATGAATGTGTTTGTGTGTATGAATGTTCAAGAGCTTGTATTGTGAACCAGGGCCAAGCAAAATAAAGGACTCATTTCAAAAATCCCCTTTACACAACATTCTTCTAAACAGAGAAGTCTTCTTCTTCATTCCCCTGTATAAACAAAATGATTCTTGAATCTGAGTTTCCTGACATATCCGGTCAGTCCTGTCATATCTGGGTGGAATCACAGTAGATCATCTGCTTATTCTCTCTTTCATGTTAATCATGTACGCTGTAATGTTAAACTCTGTGAGACTTGGCTTAAAGGGTTAGTTCACCTAAAAAATGAAAAATCTGTCATTAATTACTCACCTTCATGTTGTTTCAAACCCGTAAGACCTTCGTTCATCTTCGGAACACAAATTACGATATTTTTGATGGAATCTGAGAGCTCTCTGACCCTGCAACGCAACTGAAATGTTCCCAAGTCCAGAAACGTAGCAAGGAGATCGGTAAAATAATCCATGTGGCATCAGTGGTCCATCCGCAATTATACGAAGCTACGAGAATACTTTTTGTGCGCAAAAGAAAAAAAATAACGACTTTATTCAACAATTCGTCTCCTCCGCATCACCCTGGTGCCATTTTGGAGAATATCCGCTGGACGTAAACAGCGTATGCTGTTCTGTGTCAGCTGCGTCACACAGATACGCTGTTTCCGTTCAGATCAAATCACAACAACGTAGGAAACAGAGCCGGCGTGACGCAGCTGACACAGAACAGCATACACTTTTGGGTGAACTAACCCTTTAAAAGATTACTGACCGCACCCAAAGGCAGAAACGATCTGACAACATCCTCTTTAACATACATCGCCCTCTCAAAGCTGTTCCAGTGGGATGCCTGTTTAATATTATCTGCTTTCAAGGTGCTGTTACATTTACCATTGCTCAGTGAAATTGGATGAAATTCAGTCATTTTAACAGGAATTTGCAAAATTGTGAGTTCCACATGTTTTTCCTATGCAGATTTCGCATCAGGTTCAAGTTGGACATGTGAATTTGCCGTACTGAACAAAAGCTTTGCTTTGAAAGTGACTTATGTGTGAGCTGTGCTTCATGCATCGCTATATTGACAGTGGACAATAAACCTTTCTTGCCACAAAATGTATCTTAATGTGTTCTGTTTATCAAAAAAATTGTAGAGAGTATACTGTATATACTGTGCAGTATTCAGTATAAGCAATGAGACGTTCCAAGTCCATTTTTTCTGGGTTTATTTAGTCCCATGGTCCTGACCAATGCCTTCACTGACCACACCCCTATTAGGATGCACAATGCTGACCACAAACTCTAAGTAACTGCTAATCATGGATGAATTCATAAATCAAGCAGAAAAACACCAGCATTAAAGAGAATGACAGTAACATGGAACTGCAGGTGAGCAACATACTGTGTGAAATATAGCACATGCATTCAGCTTGTATTCTGGAGCGGGTGACAACACCTCTCTCGGTTTATGACATCACTTCCTCCAGGCTGCTGTCAGAGTGGTGTGTGAGGGTGACATTCAGCTGTCTCCCTCAATGTGTTTATTGTCAGTCACAAACAGCACTGAAAATCCCTTGTGGAGGGACTGTTTCCAATGACCTCTTCAGTACTTGAACAACTGCAACTCCACAGTTCACCCAATAATGAACATTCTGTCATCATTTACTCACCCTTATGTCATTCCAAACCTGTAAGAGGAACACAAAAGAAGATAATTTGAAGAATGTTGATAACCAAACTTTTTTGGTTATCATTGACTTTATTGTTATAAAAAAAAAACACTGAGACATTTTTGAAATATCTTTTGGGTTTCACAGAAAGTCATATAGGTTTGGAATTATATGAGGGTGAGTAAATGTTGACAATTTTCATTTTTGAGGAACCTATCCCTTTAAATACTTTCAAATCGCAGAGCCAGACCTTCAAAATCTCTCATCCAGCAGCTACTTTATTGATATGAAGAATCCTCACTATTTGAGAAACAGAGTTTTTCCATCATGCTAATTTTAATTACTGCTTTCCGGCTTCGCTGTAATGAGATTTAAGAGAAAGAATGAGATCCCATTTTTCTTATTTACACTTTTTGTCTAATCTCCTCTGGTTTTCTTTGTCTTCTTCTCTTTATGCTCCTCTGAATCTTCCTCTCCCTTGTCCTTTGCCCTCTCCCTTTCTCTCCGTCCCTCTCTCTCCGCTCTGCTGAGCAGGAAAATGAGGAAAGGAGAGAAAATTAATGTAGCTCTTGCACATCCAGACACAATAGACCAGCCAGACCCTCACACACACACACCTATCGAGACACTTCCTAAGCATCTTGTCCGATCTCAAACTGCCTCTCAGACCTTAAACACAAACCTCACACATATGTGTGCAACCACTAAAACAATTTGTTGTGGAGTTTGAAGCACTCATCCGAGCTGGGCTCATCACCATGGTAACAGCCGGCCCTCTAATGTCAGTCAGGTGTTTCTTTGGTGACTATGTGTTTCTGATTGGTTGGAGGTCTTCTGGGATATCGGAAGCAGATGGCATTATGGGATACGTTAGTCATTTGTGACATGTGCCCTCTGAGAACCAGCTGGGCCTTTGCAAACTGACCAGAGTGGGTGTGTGTGTGGTGGGTTAGGCTTGATGAGGAATAGCAAATTGACTCTTGCAGACCTTATCAGTCCCCCAGGGACTCACTGGTGAGATTAGTCTGGACCCTGCTAGGACCCGTCTAGCCCTGATTCATACTGAGGGTCATTAATGTGTAGCGCAAGTTTTGAATCTGCAAGGTTTTTAATCATCAAGTTACGATAAACCTTGTAACCCTATTAAAAGCTCACTCTAAATAATTGTGTTTATGTGTGAGGGAACAGCATGAGATGTGAGTGTGTGCTTCGGGTTATTAAAAATCACAGGAAGATGGCAGCAACATTATCATTTCCAGCCCCCCTAGGCCTTGAGTGGCAGGTCGGCTGATGGATCTCTGGTCTGGGAAAGAGGGGGGAGGTTTCGGCTCATCAGGGTTTGATTCGGCCAGGAGGAGCAGATGGGATAGGGAAATTGTCTGTCCAACCACACACACAACAAACACAAACACATACTCACACCTATACTGGAACACATTCACACTGACCATCACAATATTCTCCTGCACATTTCTTGAGAATTTTACAGATTATGAAGTAAACTATACTATTTTGTGTAAATAAATTAAATAAAAACACAAGTAAAATCAATCATTTCAAATGCTACAAGTTAATTTAGGCATTAACATTATAATATACAGTAAGAAAAAGTGATATTTATCTTGAGATTTGCTAACCATTTAAGATGAAAGAAAGTGAGCTACACAAATTGTGAACTGCAAAATTGAATATCATATATATATATATATATATATATATATATATGTTTAAAAAAAAAAATTAAACAGTAGTGTGTACATAAAGTAGAAAGTAAAAACAGTAAAGTAGAAAGTAGAAACAGTACATAAAGGAACACGATTGGCTGTACGTACCTGTGCATTGAGCTGCAGGTGCGTCATGAGTTTCATGGCTCTCTGAAGTGCTTCTCTTTTGATAAGCAGTGATACCTGCTCTTCATCTTCCAGATTTTTCCTCCACCCACAAAATGGAACCTGACCCTCTGCAGAAGCACAAGCATATGCACGTTCAAACACAGTTAAAGCACTAGCATATACTGTAGCTGATAAAGAGAAGCCATAATATAATGAATGGCAGTATTAACACTCATAGTCCCTGAGTGATCACGGTTTTCCATTTAGACTGAGTTTAAGTTAATTAGGATTTAATTTCTGCTTAATTTAATGAGTTTTAAATGAAGATATGGTTTAATGAGGAGCACGTCTAGGCCAGTAGCAGAATCTCCTTGTCACAAGGAGATTGTGAATTCTTAAAGGGACAGTTCATCCCAAAAATAAAATTCTTTCATTATTTACTGACCCTCGTTTTGTTCCAAATGCTTAACATTTTAATTGGAACACAAAATATTAATTTACAAAGTTGTTTTTAATATAATGAAAATGTCTGATTCTGAATACTTTTTCATCTATTCTGCATTGATTTTGGACTAAAATATCAGAATTTTGTGGAATGGATTTAAACAGTAAAACTAATAATAATAATAATAATTTATATTTAATTAATTGATATTATTATTTTAAATAATATTTATCTATGATTAGATTTATTTAAAAATACTTAACTTTAAAAATACGTAACTTTGCTAACCATAAAATTGCTTCAGTCAATGTATTGCTTAAAACATATTTTTTCCGTTCATACTTTTTATTAATTTTTTAATACCTCACATTTATTTTCAATTACAGATTGTAAATCAATTACAGATTATTCAGCTCAGTCGGATGACAATGTTTTTGAAATACTAAAACACTGAAATGTTTCATAAATACTAAAAACAGACTGTGTGTGTGTGTGTGTGTGTGTGTGTGTGTGTGTGTGTGTGTGCATGTGTGTGTGAGAAGGCATTGATAAATTAGTCAAAATATTTTATGTGGACCTGCTCATATTAATATCACTGAACCCAAGACAAATACACACACAATGACAGGCAGTAATATTTCCCAGCATATAAACTGAAAGACTGAAAATATAAATCTAAATTGTACAACAGCTCACAGGTCAGGATTTATCACACCCATCTTCTGAATCGCTCAGAGATCAGTTCAGAAATATTCAGACAGACATTATTGCCTTTGGAGTCATCTTTCTCTACCACAACCCTTCACTGTCATCCTCCATCTGTCTTTTATGTCTCAAAGTGGATCTGAACCTGAACAAACCTGAACACATACATACATGTCTAAGAAAAAGCCAAATAGGGAGAAAATCGTTCTCTTTCAAGACCAATTTAAAAGATACATTTTAAAGGAATATCTTAATTCTCTCGTGTCTTTTGGAGGGTTACAAACCACTACAGCGCTCTAGGCATTTCATCAGCTGATGACAGATGCTTGAGTGAAATTATACCACTTATCTTTTGGAGTGTTTTAATAGATGCATGTTAATTAATCTAAACAGTGCTGACAGGGAGGAGGACGACATGAATGTCACTGAATGCTAGCATCAGCTACCTCTGTCAAAGAGACTATAAACAAGAAGAAGATTGGTTCAGAGCAAAGGCTTCTTAGTATTTCTAACATCATATGTGTGAGTCTGCTGAAATAGACATGTTTGACAGCCAAGACTGACTTTTGATGTCAATCCTAATCTTGAAGAACATTACTTATTTTCATCTGCAACAAAATGAATGTGTACGTACTTCACCATCACTGAAAAACAGATCAAATACTGATATTAAACAATACTGTTTATGTGTGTGATTACAGTCTTTGCAAGTATAATTAAACAATGACCTATGCATTTTTACGTGGAAACACTTTTTTTTTTTTTACGTTTGCAATGTTATTCAGTGGTAAATAAATGGTATCTATGTGGGTCTGTATAGGTTACACTGAGGATCTATGTCGCCCTCTAATGGTCATATGTCACTAAACAAGAGCAAAACAAGAGCAAAGAGCAAAAAACTGATCATACAGGATTCCTCCATATACTACCTAACAATATACTGCCGATTACAATTAATCATCTAGCATTTATGTTAATCAAGGCAGTCAGTAAAAGTGAAATATAAGGTAGCAAAATACACAACCATACAGAAAAGATAGTTCGGAAGAAAATAAACTATACTTCCACACAGTTTTTCCATCTTTTCCCATTGGCATCTTGAAACCTGAATTCAATTCACTATATGATGTTGTAAAGCTGAAAAAATGGCAATGTTCTCTCACATTTAATTCCTGCAGAAACATCTTAATTTAACACTCACCTCAAGTGTCAAGAGGGATTTTTATTAAAGAGCAGTGAAGAGATGTACGACACATTTTGAAAAAGAGTGAGAAAGTGAGAAAGACTTCTCACACAACACAGACGCATAAATTCTAATAATATTTCCCTGTAAAAACATTTTTGCCAGGCACCTAGCCTTACTGGTTTGCTAGTTTTAGCTGGTTTCAGGTTTAAGGAGGTTTACAAGAATAGTTCACCCAAAAACAAACATTTGCTAAAAGCATGCCTTTTGAACTTTCATTCTGATGGCACCCATTCACTGCAAAGTGATGTAATGCTAAATTTCTCCAAAAACTTATCTACATCTTGGATGGCCTGAGGGTGAGTAAATATTCAGCATATTTTCATTTTTGAGTGAACAATTCTTTTAAAGTGGTTTAAGATGGTACAGATAGTCTCCCATTACAGCCAAATTGGTGTTCATCTGTTTCTTTTCTTAACTAAAAATATTAAAATATTAAATATTGCTATAAATATTAAATTATCTACACTAGGTCACACCAGCAGAAATCATTTAAAGAGACAGATTAGGTAGATTAGGTGTTTTGCAGCATTTGATACCATCCTTTTCTTGGTAAAACTACAATAAGTCTTTCTGTGCTCAAGTGTGTGAGTATGTGTAAGAGAGTACACAAAGGTGTCCGGCAGACTAAATAAAGCTTTTGATATAAAAGGTCAGAGAACTGAAACACACACACAAGCAATCAAATAAAACAGCCCCTCTCTCTGTTTTTCACCCTGTTTCTATTTCTTTCTTTTTCTCAGGCTAATTTGACAGTATCCTTGAAGGCTTAAGGTCATGCTCTAAAGTAAAAATCACCATGTCCAAACAGCATCTCAATCTGTGAATAAATCCTAATAAGCTAAAAGACTGATAAGCTATTCATTATATGTGCATGCTCTCTAATTTGAATAACTCGTGTAAAAAAAAAAAAAAGTACAAAAAGTGAAAGAAAGATGCAGTAACTAATGCCAAGTATAGAACCTTACTGCTAAGTGTCAGCAGAATTACTGTAGAGTTGAATTAGGATTTATTTATATCAACTAACAATAAATAGGAAATGGAATTAATAGTATTACAGTACCATCAAATTAAAAATAAATATAAAGTAGACCAAATATATGAATAAGCAAACAGAATTACAGTAAACAAGAACAGAACATCACTACAATTTTTGACATCACTACAAATAATGTCTGAATGAAAATAATAAAGATTAACATAGAATAAGATTTTATTATTACGGATTTATTTTTTATACATTTCTCATAAATAAGAAGTGCACGGCAATGCATTCAATGAATTTGACTTTGCAGAGGCAGAAGAAAACAGATACTCACTGTCTTCTGTCTGCTGTATTTGAGTTCCCGTCACCTGACAGAGACTCGGAGGAGCATCTCCCATCCTGAGTGTGTGTGTGTATGTTTGTTATTAGTAAATATTAAGTAATAGAACTGGCTTCTGTTCTGCTCTTATTCATACCCCCTCCACCCTTATCACTCTTCCATGCTTCCTCTCTCTCTTTTACTGTAAAGGGAGAGCAGGCAATACTGCTAGCATCTAAGATCACTGCCCCTGGGAATGTGTGTGTGTGTGAACATATTTTTTGTGTGTATGTGTGAGTAAGAGTATTTCCTTTAAGTGACGCTTCTGCCTCTCATTCTTGGCTAAACTGACTTATCTTTCCTCCTCCTGGGGTCTTATGTGTGATGCGTGTAGCCTATATAGTCTCTTGGTCTTTTACATTTTGATGAGGTGAATCCATTTGAATAAGTTGAAAGAATGTCTTTCAAATACTTCAGGGTCGTTCCTGTTATGCAGTACCTTTTGAACTTTCTAAGAGAGATTAATGTTGGATTTGGAACCGCATACTAAGAGTTTAGCATAAGAGATACTTATATGAGTCAAAATGTTGATATTACCATACCAACTTATGTAGTTTTATCTAAAATGATGGAATGCTTCACGGTGACACGACAACTAATACCACAAAACATTAAGGAATACATCAACCCATTGCTAATGCCTGTGCAGCTGTTACCCCACCAGAATGATGTAACTTCCTGCCACTTCATGTCATTAAGGAAGAAGCTTTTGGTTTTTAAAGGGACAGTACAAACATTTGGAAAATTAAGAATGTGAGGACATGGGAAAACCTATAAAATTAGTTAAATCATGTTCCCAAGAAAACTTGTTTTTGACATTTTTACTAGAGAAAGGGAAAACATGAAACATAAAAAACATAAAATTAACTCGGTTCACCTAACTGTGATACTGTAGCCTAGTTTACCATCTTTAAGATTTATGCTAAGGGTGTGCTCAGCCCGCTGCTCTTCACGCTGCTGACCCACGACTGCACTGCCAAGTTCAGCTCCAACCACATCATCAAGTTTGCGGATGACACAACGGTGGTAGGTCTCATCAGCAACAGTGATGAAACGCACTACAGAGAGGAAGTGGCAAAGCTGGCTGAATGGTGTGGCACTAACTTGACTTGACTTGATTTATAATTGACTTTACATCCAATATTTTAAGTCACAGATAGACATGAAAATGTAACAAATAACAGGAATGAACCTACACAATTTTTACATGTTCTGTTATTAAAATTCATAACTACCCTCAGTCTTTAAGAAATGTACATTTTCTGTGTGGTCTTGTTGATATGCGAGTGCGGATTTGGCTGCTGTCAGACAGAAGGAACATTGTGCTCCT